CGCCCCTCGAGGGCATCCGGCGCATCATGTCGCATTTTCTGAAAAGAGAAATCCCCCGCGGCGAGGCCCTCGACACCGCCCAGATCGACTCGATCCGCATGGGCACCACCGTGGCCACCAACGCCCTGCTTGAGCGCAAGGGTGAAAAGATCGCGATGGTGGTGACAAAGGGCTTTGGTGACTGCCTGGTCATCGGCAACCAGTCCCGACCCAAGATCTTTGATCTGGCCATCCGCAAACCCGAGGTTCTGTATTCTACCGTCGTCGAGATCGACGAGCGCGTTACGCTGGAGGACTATGCCGAGGACCCGGCCAGGACGGCGACCAAGTCGGACGTCCAAGCTGGCACGGCTGAGGCTAAGACGACAGACCTGGTTATGGGTCTTTCCGGGGAGGCGGTGCGGATCCTAGAGAGGCCGCGGCGGGATGACATCAAGACCAAGCTTCAGATGGTTTATGATGGTGGCATCAGGAGCATAGCCGTCTGTCTGATGCACGCCTACACGTTTCCCGATCACGAGGCTCTGATTGGCGAGGTGGCGCGCGAGATTGGCTTTGAGCACATCTCGCTGAGTCATGAGCTGATGCCCATGATCAAACTGGTGTCAAGAGCGACGTCGGTTTGCGCCGACGCCTACCTCACGCCGGCCATCAAGAAGTACATCTCCGGCTTCCAGCAGGGCTTTGCAGGCGGTCTGGGGACCCAAGGTGTCAAGCAGGGACAAGGTGATCGCGGTGCGCGCTGCGAGTTCATGCAAAGCGACGGCGGACTGGTCGATGTCGACAAGTTCACCGGCCTCAAGGCCATTCTGTCAGGCCCGGCCGGCGGCGTCGTGGGTTATGCGATCACGTCGTACGACGAGAACACAAGGATCCCGGTCATTGGATTTGATATGGGCGGGACCAGCACCGATGTCTCGCGGTATGGTGAAGGACGATATGACCACACTTTTGAGACCACGACGGCTGGTGTGACGATCCAGTCCCCGCAGCTGGATATCAATACAGTTGCTGCGGGTGGCGGATCGAGGCTGTTTTTCAAGAATGGATTGTTTGTGGTCGGCCCAGAGTCCGCTGGTGCACATCCCGGTCCTGCGTGCTACCGGAAGGGCGGCCCCGCAACTGTTACTGACGCGAACTTGTATTTGGGTCGGTTGTTGCCCGAGTTCTTCCCCAAGATTTTCGGAAAGAACGAGGACGAAGGGCTGGATCCCGAGGCGAGCAAGAAAGTGCTTCAGAAGCTCGCAGACCAGATTCACCGGGAGACGGGCAAGGAGATGAGCATCGACGAGGTTGCGTATGGGTTCCTGACGGTCGCCAACGAGGCCATGACGCGGCCCATCAGGAGTATCACGGAAGCGAAGGGACACGACTCGTCCAAGCACCGTCTAGCGACTTTTGGCGGCGCCGGCGGTCAGCATGCCGTCGCTATCGCCGAGTCGCTCGGTATTACGCAGACTCTTATTCATCGGTATTCGTCTGTTCTCTCTGCTTATGGCATGGCCTTGGCGGATGTTGTGGACGAGCGCCAGGAGCCCGAGTCCAAGGTCTGGGCCACACAGGGCAGTGTGATGGACGAGCTAAAGAGCAGGATGGAGGTACTCAAGGAGAAATCTCGCCAGGCACTTAGAGACCAAGGGTTTGAGGATAGCGAGATTGTTTTTGAGGAGTACCTAAACATGCGGTATCGCGGCACCGAGTCCGCTCTCATGATTATCAAGCCTAGTAAGGAGGACGCTGCTGCTGTAGACGGCAATGACTGGGATTTCGGTACAGCATTTGTCAAACACCACCGCTATGAGTTCGGCTTTACTCTGGACGACAGGGACATTATTGTGGACGATATCCGTGTGCGTGGGATTGGCAAGAGCTTTAGGTATGACGAAAAGACGGTGGACGAGCAGCTCAAGACGGTCAACCGCCACGATGTCGCTGCCGAGAAGAAGCACTCTGAAGCGAAAGTATACTTTGAGGGGGGCCGTCTGGACACGCCGATTTACAAGCTTGGTGATCTCGATGTCGGAATGGTTGTCAAGGGCCCGGCGATGTTGGCGGACGGGACGCAGACGATTGTGGTGACGCCCAAGTGCACTGCCCTGGTGCTGGAGACGCATGTTGTTATTGACATCCAGAAGGACGGTGAGAAAGATAAGTAAGTGTTCCCATTTTCAGATTCCAATCTATTTTAGAGGATTACTAACACATTGTCTTAGATCCTTGACGGCCTCGGGCGAGCGCGAGGTTAATCCTATCATGCTCAGCATCTTTGGCCACAGGTTCATGGCGATTGCTGAGCAGATGGGCAGGGCGCTGCAAAAGACCAGCGTCAGCACCAACGTCAAGGAGCGCCTCGATTTCTCGTGCGCCATCTTCGACGCCACCGGCGGTCTTGTGGCGAACGCTCCCCATTTACCAGTTCACTTGGGTTCCATGTCGACCTGCGTCCGCCGCCAGGCCGAGATCTGGAAGGGAAAGCTGAGCAAAGGAGACGTCATCATCTCCAACCATCCTTCGTACGGCGGAACCCACCTGCCAGACATCACCCTCCTGATGCCCGCATTCAACGAGGCGGGTGACAAGATTCTGTTCTACGCCGCGTCGCGCGCGCACCACGCCGACATTGGCGGTATCACGGCCGGCAGCATGCCGCCGCACTCGCGCGAGCTGTTCCAGGAGGGCGCGGCGATAAAATCCGAGAAGCTCGTGTCGCAGGGCAAGTTCGACGAGAAGCGCGTCACCGAGCTCCTCTACAAGGAACCGGCGCAGTACCCGGGGTGCAGCGGCACGCGGTGCCTGGCGGACAATATTAACGACCTACGGGCGCAGGTGTCGGCCAACCAAAAGGGCATCTCGCTGATTGAGAACCTGATCGACGAGTACGGCGAGGAGACGGTGCAGTTCTACATGGTGGCGATCCAGAACAATGCCGAGCTGCAGGTGCGCAATTTGTTGAAAGCCGTGTCGAAGCGGTTCGAGGGCAAGGAGCTGTCGGCGGTGGATTTCATGGACGACGGCAGCCCGATCTGGCTGAAGATTTCGATTGATGCGGAAAAGGGGGAGGCGGTGTTTGATTTTGCCGGGACGGGGCCGGAGGTGTACGGCAACATTAACGCGCCCGAGGCGGTGTCGTACAGCGCCATCATCTACACGCTGCGCTGCATGATCTCGGAGGACATCCCGCTCAACCAGGGCTGCCTGAAGCCGATCACGGTCAAGATCCCGCCCAAGTCGCTGCTCTCACCGTCGGACAACGCTGCCGTCGTGGGCGGAAACGTGCTGACCAGCCAGCGGGTCACGGACGTTATCTTCAAGGCGTTTGAGGCCTGCGCCGCGAGCCAGGGCGACTGCAATAATTTGACTTTTGGGTTCGGCGGGAATGTGACCGGAGAGGCGGAGGTCAAGGGGTTCGGGTACTACGAGACGATTGCGGGCGGGAGCGGTGCCGGACCGACCTGGGAGGGCACCGACGGCGTGCACACGCACATGACCAACACGCGGATTACGGATTCAGAGGTTTTTGAGCGGCGGTATCCGGTTTTGTTGCGGGAGTTCTCCATTCGTAAAGGCTCTGGCGGTAAGGGCCAGCATCGAGGCGGCGATGGCGTGGTGAGGGATATCGAGTTCAGGATCCCCGTGCAGGTATCGATCCTCAGCGAGAGACGGGTGCACAGGCCGTACGGGATGAGGGGCGGCGAGGACGCCGAGTGCGGGCTTAATCTGTGGGTGAGGAAGGTGAAGAAGGCTAGTTGGGAGTCGAGTTTGCGGAAGTTGCACGGTGAAGGGGGAGAGGAGGCGGAAGAGGAAGAGGAGGAGCGGTATATTAACTTGGGGGCAAAGAATAGCGCGCCCATGAAGGCGGGCGATCGGATTATTATATGTACGCCTGGCGGCGGCGGTTGGGGCAAAGTTGGCGATGATAAAGTGAGGAGGGAGGATAGGGATCCGATGGAGGGGTGGAAGAAGGGGTCGTTTGCGGCGAGGGAGGAGGCTGCATTGCAGGTTTGATTTCGATGGTGTTGATGGGGATGATTTATGGTGTTATGTCATGTGGTTTTGCTTATGGTAGGTGACTGTTGTATGCATGGATAATGGAGCGTGCGAGACTTGATTCACTTGACGGATGCCAAAGTTGGACGTAACGCCTCTAACAACATCTTACTCTATTTTATCCATTTGCATTATAAGCACTGTGTATGTCCAACAAGAAAGGAGATGCTGCATCATTTATAAAAAAAGAAGAAAGGCATCCACCGGATAGATCTTGCTGATTTTCTCCTGAAGAGGAGGATTAATGAAGAAAAATAGAAAGAGAAAAAGAAAAAGTAGATGAGACTCGGATACCGGGAGTCGAACCCGGGGCTGTTGAGAGAACAGTCACTTCTGAGAAGTGAGAGTCAACGATGTTACCGCTACACCATACCCGATTAAGGAATGGCTTCCAATGATTTTGTTTAAAAGTTTTGTTGCGAGCGGGGTATATAAATGCAAACATACAACCTTCAGTCAGCTCATAGGTTGGTGAATCCTGTTGATTGCATAACCTACAGCGGACAAAGACTTATTCGTGTAAATCGACATTTGTTTGGCTCTTGTGAGAGGCTTTAGATTTGGCATTAAAGTTGAGGTTCTGGTTTACCAATGCATGATGTCGGCTGGCATGTTAGCGCTGAAGTTGTCGATAGGCTACCCTTTATTTTCCTTATGTCAATTGGATGGCAAACCATGCATGTAAAGACTTGACGGTTAATCGGTAAGACTTTGCAAGCTCCCGTCATTACACTCGTTGCTATCTTGGAACCGAAAATTCTTATCAACGGAACAGCGGACTTTGGCGTCAATCACTCTTGTTAGAAAACAACCTTCCAGTCCATCATCCTCTGCCAAGACGAATGAGACGGGATGGTTGCTTTACCAAAAGTAAACATTATTCGCTGTACGGATGGATGGATATTACTATCAAACTGCAAAAAGTAACTCGGAAACTTTGGAGTCTTATTGCTTGCGTCAAGAGGGAATCGAACCCCCCCCTCAACCTTGGCTCTTCCTTGATGGAAGGGTTGAATCCTAACCACTAGACCATTGACGCTGGAATTGCTTCCGTTGTGACTGTCAGAGGGACCCTGATCTGCAGTTATGGATAGTCTTGTGGATTTTCGTGGGACAATTGAAATCTCATGAAATACCTGTTTCGGGCCGAACTTTCAGCACTGCAAATTTAGCCCCGACGGGTACGCACCTGACAGCTGACATCCACCCTACCAGCTGTCTGCCACTTGAGCTGAAATCGGCCCAGCTTCCTCCGGTCCGCCTGCCCCTGCCGGACAATTATTACATCACCTTTGGCCGTTTCCGAAGCTGCCCGCCAGGATGCGCGACGCTCGGATCCTGGTCCAAGAACCGTATAGCTCCAAAATTTCCCAAACGACGAGCACCTGACATCAACGCAAAAACCGAAGCTCGATAAACGCCAACAAACCACTTGCCGAAGGAGAGTGTGTGTTCCAGCTTTCACTTGCTACACGCAGGTTTAGTAAGTGAGTTTGTCATTTTCTTTCCTTCCGACCAGCCGACCGACCGACGGATCCGAAACCCGATCGCATCCTCCAGAGCGCGGCTTGATAGCTTGCCCCGAGTCCCGAGAATCGGCGCCGGAGTTGAAAAGTCGAGTTTTTTAGTGATCAAAGCTGGGAGAGAAATAGAAATTTTGTTTCTTCCTCCAGAAGAAACAAAGAACTTGCAAGAGGCGTGCACATACAACCTTGAGGGAGGGCCACATATCACGACCGACAACATGTTCCGATCGGCAGTGGTTGATGTCCTTTTCGGAGGAGGAGGAAGAAGCGCTTTTTTGAGAAAGGTGGCCAAGGACACGGCAGCAACAGGGAAACTATGCAGCCGCACGATCACAACGACAAATACCACGGCGGCTCGGTCATCATCAGCGCAGTTCTGGGCACAGAGGTTGGCGAACAGCAGACAGCAGGTGTTACAGGCTGGGCGGTTTAGATCATCTCAGTTCCGCGCTGCCCCCAGACGTTATTTCCAGACCTCAAAGGCAAGGCGGTCTCAGCAGCAGTCCGGGAGCAAGCCGGCTGCGGAGCCGGAATCATTATCGGTCAGCGGCCGGTTGAAGAAGCTGTCGAGGGAATACGGCTGGGCGGCGGTGGGAGTGTACCTGGCGCTGAGCGCGCTGGACTTGCCGTTTTGCTTTTTGCTGGTGCGGATAGTCGGCACGGATAAGATTGGTGAGTCTCTCTGTTTTTGTGACAGTGGTCGGGGAAGAGGGATCGTTGGTTAGCTAACATCGATCAGCCGAGGTCGAGCACATTGTTGTGTCAAACGTCAAGAAGATCATACCCGAGAGCATCAAGAATTGGTGGCACGAGTACCGGCATGCGCTCAAGGAGAACGCGAAGCAGCAGATGGGCAGCGACAGCGAGGTGGTCCAGGACGTGGAGATGGCCGGCTGGGGAGTGAAGGAGGCCGAGGAGAGGACGCAACAGGAAGGAGCCAGTAAGTTTTTCTGTCTCAAAGGCATCCCAACCCGAAACTATCGTAGCCAGTGCTAACCACCGGGAAAAGGCTTGGCAACGCAGTTCGCCTTCGCGTATGCGATCCACAAGAGTTTTATTTTCGTCCGCGTCCCCCTGACCGCGGCATTGTTGCCCAAGGTGGTCAAAGTGCTGAGGTCGTGGGGCTACAACATTGGCAAGAGGAGGCCCAAGCCATGAGGCCACTAATTTGGGTCTGTCTGTTCCTCTCAGCTCCTCCCGGATCTCCTCCGTACATTCCTGGCCCCCTGCACATCGTTCCGTCATGGCGTGAAACATAAAGATTACGGTCTGTGTATTGGAGAAGATTGGCGGCGTTCCGATCATTATCAGTCGTGGCGATGGTCGGTGGCGGCTTTGCGATTCCTAGCTTTCCTTTTCCTTTTTGCGCATTTTAGACGGATGGCCTCATTGACTTTATGTAACATTACCTTGTATTGTACTAAAATAATTACTTGTAAGGACTACATAGGATCGTGTCGTGTCGAGGGGGATATCGCCGCCAGTCTGCCTATGGGGTTTCGGACCCAAGTGGCGCGGAAGAGCGGGATTTAGCTTATTTACAATCCTTAGGGTTACCTACTACCTAGTAATTCCGCGAATTCCGATCCGAGTCTCCTGTTAGTCTTATACAGGATTTTGTACGTGGTGAGTGCCTCTTGATGAGAGTTTGTGGAAATAGAGTTTACGCTAAAAGGGGCACGCTCCGTATATTGACCATTCAGGACGAATGACACCATCATGGTCTCCTCGGGATGCCCTCTGTTCATAGACTTGGAGAGGAAAGCTTATCCTGTCAGGAATTGAACGAGCGGAAGTAAAGAAAAAAAAAAAAAAAAAAAGGAGCGCTTGAGTTTGGATGCTTCTTCTGATATACTTTGTAAGAAAAAAGTGTGATGTTGTCATTCAGGTGAATTAGCGAAAATGAGAAGGAACAAAGTTTCACACACACAAAGTTCCCACGGTCAAACAAGAAGATTCAGCTTGGGAAAGGGCAGTAAGCTTATTGGAGGGATATTACCTGGTTTATCTCGAGATGCCTCGGGATGGCAGTTGGTACAGCGTCTTCAAGGTATGGAAGTCCCAGACTGTGACGATTACCGAGCAGTTGGCAAGCATGAATTGGTTTGCCAAATCTAAAAGCTTGAAGGCAACATATGTCCGTTCTGATAATGATCTCAGGGTCCATTGTTGGACCCGCCGCCGATGTCATGCGGTCGGTCCCTCACAACCCCATAAAGGGGCCAACGAGAAAGCGTCACACGGCAATGGCCATTCCCCGATATTGTGGACCAAGCACACTTGCTTCGGAAACCGTTCCAATTTACAGAGATACCTGCTCTGGTCTTTCTGATACCCGGTGGCACATGTCCCGAGGTTGCAGTCCCTCGCCGACCACCATCGTCGTCGTCGTCGGCGTCTTCGGTAAGGACGGGGCTTGTAGTTGATGTTTCCATTTGTCAGGGCATTCTCTTGCATCCTAGTTTTGACCCCAGAACAAGACAACGGCTCGGACGAATAGCTGTGATCGGCCTTCGTCCCAGCTATTGAACTAGACTAGAATTGCTAGCTAGCTCAGGCTCTAAGCATTGTTTCCTGGGTGCGATTCAGATGACAGGCGCGATGGAGTACACTCGAGATCATAGTCTCTCCCCCCTTTCCCCTTCCTCCTCCCTCATCTCTTCTTCCAACGGCAGCTGAAAAACGCACACAATCTCGAGTGCAGCCCTATGGTAGGTATATAGTGGTCGATTACAACAACTCGCCTTCTTCTCCCGTTCATCTCGTCTCTTTTGATCATAGGCGAGACCACCACGCCATGCCCGCTAAGTCAGCAAAGCTGGGCCAACGACATCACACGCACAATGTGTCATCTCCTCCCGCCAAGTTTGCAACCAAAGCAGAACCTCTTCACTCGGCAGGAATATTTTGAGTCTTTGGACGCATTATCAGGCGGAATTACTCCAAACTCTGGGATATCTGCCCCCTACAATTGTCCAAGGCCATACTTAGCTCTACGACCCCATCACCACTTTCAGCCCTCGGGCTCCTGCGTCAATTATCCAAATCCATGCCCGCCTTTCGATCAGAAGCACCGCGTCTGGAAGAACCCATTCGGGAGGCTATCACCTCGACTACAACGCTCCTACCTCCATCCAGCAGATCAAAAGATCGTGGACCAGAATATCAAGCCCGACAGCACCGGCGAAGACAGCAATCTGCCGCCGGAACCTGGGTCACAACAACACAAAAAGGAGCCTTATCGAGGTTGACCCAACCTTGACCGTTGAGAAATGAGAGGGGTTGGCTATTTATTTTTTTATTTTTGACGTTGGTGGGTTGAGGGTGTTGTGTTTATTGTGCATGTTGCTACGGAGTGGGAGTCTAGTTCTAGAACTAGCTCTAGCCCTTAGGAGCTGGAAAGGAGATGAAGTTGGAGTTGGAGTCACTGCAAATGCTGTTTTGATAAGTTGTTGCAAAGGTGTTTTAATAAGTTGGTATTTCTCTTACTCTCTTTGTCTTCATTTTGTCTTATGACAGGTTAGTTGAAGAATTGAATGGAGTTGTCAAACAAGCTTTGAGGAGGATTGTTGCCCGAGGTTCCCATTCCCCGCACTGCAACGCTCGAATCCACCCGCCGGGGTGAGGCTGCAGGGTAGCAGGGGTCCAGATCGGGGTTGGGGGGGGGGGGGGGTTATGCTTATCACAACGGTGCAAGCCTAAAGCGGGCAAGTGGGGGAGCTCGCTCCTCCTCCCAGGAACCTAACACCCAAACCGCCGGCGGCCGGGACAGAATCCCCCGTTCATCAATCACCTGGCCTGCCGAGCGGGCCATTGAATTATGGCTATTCTACATAGCACCTTGGCACAACGCATCTAGACGCGAAGAATAAATCGCGCTACATCCTTTTGGTTCAAGGTCCTGGCACTGGCAGGTTAATGTATCGTGGAAGACTCGGGACCCCGGGAGCGGGGGTAGGATCTCTCGGATCATCAAACCGTTGATCTGATTTTGGGAAAGAACCCCATTGGCTTCCAGCTAATTCTAGTTTCTATGATATCTTCCGTTCCCATCCGCGGACTTTAGGAAGTGGTTTCCTTTTAATACTAAAAGGTGTTCGGTCATGCCACCTTCCTTCCGGTCTCGCGCGTCTGTTTCTTCTGTTTCGTCCCTTCACTTTCTAAACCCAATTAATTCTCACCGCCGCTCTTTCTGACTTTTGTATTACTTCTTTTGCTCGTTGGTAGGAACAGATGTGCAGGGGCCATTGAAGCGCACCTGCGTCGCTCACTCACCAGCTGACCGATCGACTCAACCAATAACATCCCCGCCGGTCTTCCTCTTTTCGGTCGAGCCGATAACGCCGCGACGGACGCGCCACCCTAACTAAAATCCCCCGGTTGGACTGCACGGTGGATCGATCGAATCGGAGGGCTTACAATGGAGTACAGAAAACAACAACCACAAGAACCAGACGACCTAGAGAAGCGGCTGCCGCAAATCTACGAGGATAGCCAGGAGGACGAAGGCCAT